TACATGTGAATAATAAATTAAAATGAGAAATTATTGGAGCAATGGCTAATTTTAAAGCTTAGTACATTCTTCGCTTAATAATTTGAAGGTAATGATGTTCAAAGAAATTTATACCTTGCCATCTTAAAAATATACATATGTTAGACACGAATTATTTTGAAATTTTCCTTTGATTTTATATGTTTGCGATAAGTTTCCTAAAAATTTCCTTCTCGAAGAAATATCGAATTCAATTTTTATTATCCATTCGTCGACCAAATTTATCTGGTTGTTCAAATCATGGCATGCTGCCGAGATCTCTCTTTCTCTCTCTCTTTCTCTCTCGAAAAAGATCTTTTTTACCGCGCAACGTTGAAGATACATAAAGTTACAAAGGTCGTGCCGAGCAGCGTCTGTTCCGACGCGGTCCTTTGAAGTGGTTTTCGCTGGTCTACGAGTATTAAACGGGTTCACCTGATCGTAATGCAGGCAATAACCGCCGCCGTGCGGCGGCGGCAGATTATTCGGGACGAAAAAGCCGCGGCGGTGGGCGGAAGAGCCGAACGACCGGAAGCGGTGTGGCGGTATTCTCTTTGATACACCAAGGCACAGCTTTTTAGAAGCTCGCAAGACGCTACGTTTACGCGCCCGACAGCGTAAATGTTGACGCGTAAATGATATTAAATCCTCGAAAAGTTGGACAGTCTTACGTGAGAATCACCGCGCGAAACATATCGCATGGCATTCGCGAAGAGAAATTTTAGATGATACTTTGCATTGATCCTTTGTCTCACATACAAAATTTGTTCCGTTTCCTTAACAATTTATATATATATATATACATATATATATATATATATATATATATATATATATATATGTATTTATAAATGCATCTGCTAATTTTTAACGTTAGTCTAGAAAATGGTTTAAAATGGTAAAATTAATTTATCGTTATCGATAGCTATGCTTTTTCTTAGCATGTCAGGCTCGTCAATCTTACAACAAAATAGCGATCTCGATTATAGGCGTTAATTGCCGATGCGAGAATATAATAGTAATCGCGTCAAGAAAGACTGGAAAAGCAGATAATTAATTAAAATCCTCAGCTCGATCTTGATCGTGCAGCGTGGATCGTTCGGCGAACATAAAAGTGCATACCACGTATGTAATACGTAATTAGTTAACCGCTCACGTCGTTACCACCGCTAATTGACACCGGTCGCGCGTCGCCTCTCGCAGGCATCTCTAATTACCGGTGTTTGCGAAGATCGGAGCGGAATCGCTACAGCGAGTTTCGGTCGCGTCGGTTTGTCCTCGCACGTGTTACACAGTATGCTAATTGCGATAGAAAATCACTATTCTTTGCCACAAGTTGGCAATAATTAATTCGAACTACTTATTAAACTCAATGAGATTTTTATTACATTATTTATATAACCGTCTTTCGTATTAATTATCTTTTAATCGTTCATCTATATCTAAGAAAAACGGTGTTTACTGTAAGCCATTTGATGTTAAAAAATAAATGAATCTTGGCGAATTAATCCGATGATAAATAAATTGATATAGCGAAAGAGCTCGAATCCTGATTAATTTTTTTAGGAGAGGTTTAATGAAGATTTGATTTACGACTCGATTATCAAAATACTTGAAAATTACGCGCGTTAGATCGCCCGGCAAAAATTTGCAGGGGCTTTATTTCGCACGCCGAAATTAGCGATCCTCTCCGCCGTGTGTGCGCGAATCCGGGATCGATTAATTGAATTAACTCGATCGAGCCGCAGATGCGAATCGAGCGCAGCCCCGCCGAAAGCCAGGGCCGATAACACGATAACTAGTACCGCGGGGCCGGTGGGGATTTCCGGTCGCGGGGATGAAAGCGCGGGATCGATATCCGATCGCGCATAAAATATATATTATATACATATATGTATATCGAGCCGCCGAATCGCGTCACGCCTCGATTAACTGTTTCGCACGGCTCGCAATTTGTGCGCGCGCGAACGATTACGTTTACCACCCGCGGGATAATAACACAACCGTATACCGCGCGAATCGCGAGATTTTCAGCCTCTCTCCCCCCCCTCCCCCCTAACCACCGCCGCAGCGGCGGCGGCAAGCAACAACGACGGGCATTGCGCGTTGTTTTCTCTGCCGCGGTATGCCGCGCTGTGTAATTACGATAATCCGCTGATGATATAATTTACGAGGCCGCATCGCTAGCCGCGCATTTATCATACGAGGTAATTTCCTGCTTTATTATAATAATATCCGGGGTAATATGCCCCCGCCTGCGCGCCGAATACACCTTCTTATTTTCGAGCGCGCCGCTTCTCTTCGTTAACCGTCTCGTACCCGCCTTAGCGCTACGACGTTAATTATTTCTCGCAACTCTTCAGACGCGCCGACTCGCGTCTTCGCACCCCCCCTCCCCCTCCCCCCTCCCCCCGCCGCCGCCCACTCGCGACACTTGGTGGGATTATCAATGTTTAATCCTTTCGTAATGTCGCGCTCGACGATTTCAGAAATTTCCGCGTATCGGAAAAATGCGGATACGCGCGCTCTGCGAGTGGGAGGGGGGGAGAGAAGTGAAGTGCGTAAAAAAAATTCCCAATTGTGCAATAGTACTTTTCATTCTCTTTCGATTTTTGCCGAAGATTTATTTGTTCGAGATATCCGATTGCATTATCTCAATGACGAAAAACACCGACAATCATTGTATTTTATTATCTCCTTTCTTGAGATTATCGATTTGACCGTAATTGACCGTTCAATCACAATGGAAACATAATTCCGCCGCTTTCTGCCAAGAATCCAACGATATCTCGAGGTTTCTTTTTTTTTATGGGAATCCGCGAATCACAGTCAAGACTTATCCCTAGCAAAAAGCCACATTCGAAACGACTTGCGAGATATTCGACGAAATAATATCTCGCGGGGTGCAGACGGTGGGAGAGGGCGGCGGAGAGGGGAGGGGAAGAGGAAAAAGTGCCGGCGATGCAGGGTAAGCGAGCTTCAACCCTCATTCATCTTCGACGCTCGTTCCGGCCGAGGATAACGTTATTTCGACCGTAATACTTGTGTCGGAGAATCAGCCCAGCGGAAAAAGTAGTTCGATGTTGCAGCTGCTGGCGCACGCGTACTTCCCGGTACCTCGACAAATGGCAATAACGACGATAATAGCGCGCCGAATCGTGAAGAGGCGGGATAAAAGGAGATTTCGAGGGGATACAGACGTAAACGAAGATGTGCAGCTCCATCGCTTGCGATCGATACAGCTTCGAGATTGGCAAAGATCTCGAGTCGGATCTTTTTGTTTTGCGTATCTTATACTTTTCGCCTCTTAAATAACGACAGTAATTATCATTAGAGATGTAAAAAAGAATAGAGTAAGATTTATCGAAGTAATGAAGAATTGTTGTACATTTGGGATAAATCGAATTTTTTTAAGCGTTGGATTTAAATTGTGTTTGATAAGGATATCCTGTTTTCTCGAATAGAAATATTTCTAAAATCTAATTAGAATCTAGTCAAAGTTCAATTTAATTTCAAAAATGGATTTTCTTGGGGAAATATTTATTAAAAAAAGTTTAACGTTTTAGAGAAATAGGATTCTAAAGCGGATACTTGGACAAGTCTCATTTGTTCTCTATAATATTTTTTCAAAATTCTCTTTTCCGATTTTTATTCATATTATATAACTGAGAAGAATATTTAAGATATTATATTTTACCTAGATAAGAATTCACAATGATTTAATTATCATTGATCGATATTGAATTTCTATTGAAACTCTGGATTAAAATAGTAAAAACCGAAAAAAGTTAAAATTATTATAAATCTTCCATAGAATCAGATTTTAAGATAAAACACAGATGCTAAAAATTTTTTATACTACAATTAATAATCTTATCTTATAATTTTAGTAATAGTGTTCTTTGCAGATTTTATATCAGTTCGTGATGGAAATTAAATAAATGCGTATAGCGACAAACAAAGAAGTTAATACACTTTTATTTTTTATTCTATTATAAGAGAATTTAATATCTCTGAAAGTAAATTTATATAAGCTATATTTAATATCTATAAAAAGAATTTATTCGAGTCTATAAAAAAATTCCGATTTTATATAATCTAATCTGCAAGAAGAAACGCAACTTTCCGCACCTGATCCTGTTGCGATTCCCGATTCTCAAAAATTTATATTTTAAATAAAAATGGGATTCCGCGTACAATTGGTATTATATTAAAATAATATTATATTTCGGAGAAATTGAAGCATTCTAATCAAAATTTATACTGTATCTGGGAAAAATGTTGGAAAATTTTTATTGGATGGTAAAGAGAAACGGAAATACAAGTATAAAATACGTGAAAATGTTTGATACATCACCAGACTTGTACCACGACCTACATCAAAGAAACGCATGCGCGTATCCTATTGTAAAAAAAGACAAAGTAAGATGACGCTCGATAAAAATCGCTGCTCTAATCGCTGCGAGATCAACGAGCGAGATAAAGCGCGCTTTTGCGGAAATATTTACAAGTATCGCGAGATACCGATCTCCCGGGTCGAAACGAGAGAGATTCGGACGATAGGGAGCACAATGTGCGTGTGCGGGGGAGCGGGATCAAAAATAATAAGAGCGCGATCGTGGCGAAGTGTAGCATATATCCGCGGTAGTAGACGGTGACGGGATTTCCCAGAGAAAAAAAAGGAATGTACGACGATACACTCCCACGCCTCCACTCGGCGGACGAACCCAGCCGAAGCCAGTAACCATCACCCACCGCTCGGCCAGCCAGCAGCGAGCTAACCACCCACCTGCGTTAGCCGCGGCCGCCGCCACCGTCGCTCTGCCGTGTTTAAAGCTCCGCTAGTAAAACAATAAATTGCACTCGAGAGAGAGAGAGAGAGAGAGAGAGAGAGAGAGAGAGAGAGAGAGAGAGAGAGAAAGAGAGAGAGAGAAAGAGAGAGGGCGGCAGAGTGAGGAGGGGCTCGAGAAAGAGAGAAAGAGAGAGGGGGAGAGACGAGAGAGTCGCGGCGTACTATAGCGCGGAGGAAAGCGGTTCCTGTCAGCAATTGCCCCCCTCTTGTAAGAAAAAATGGCAGCTGCCGTGGCTGGATGGCGCGTACGAGACCATAATACCGCGCGCCACCCTACCTCATTCTGTACGTGTGGACGTACGAGCGCGCGAGCGCGGCAGGCGGAGCGGTTCGCCACGGAATTGGAGGGGTGATAGAAGGGGAGAGGGGACGGCGGAGAGGGGACAAGGACGCGAGAAAGGGAACGGGAGAGGGTAGAGGCAGACGGCGTGGAAAAAAGCGACGTGCGACGAGGAGGAACAACCTGGGTGAGCAGCTACGGCGACTACGATGACGACGATGATGATGACGAAGATGATGACGACGACGACGACTAGGACGACCACCACCAACGGATCAAGAGAGAGAAAGAGAGAGAAAGAGAGAGAGAGACTCCTCCTGTGGACGACGTTCGAGCATGTTTGTATGTATCGTCGGTCGCCGCGGTTGGCAGTTTCGGTCCGACATGGGCGCGACAGAAAGAGAGGAGCGAGCTGAAGCGAGAGAAAGAAGGACACGGTATAATAACGTTTAGGGGAAACCTCGAGGTGGGTTCCGCAAACGGGAGAGATCCTGCAGGCGGAGTTGGGTGCTGATCCCAGAGGCGGAGCGTGTTGCGGAGAAACCGCCCATCGACACCCGCTGGGTATCCTTTCATCTCGCTCCCGCTCTCGTGTTTCCACCGTCCCTTTGACTCCGACATCCGCGACCGAGCTCCGATGATCGCGTGGCGGGTGGGGGCCGAAACGAAGAGGCGACCGGCGGTGGCGCGGGTCAGTCTGTCGGGCAACCCGGTCGGTCTGTCGTTCCCTGCTCTGTCCGCGCCACGTTTCGCCTCGCGCGGTTCGGAGTGATAAACGACACATCAAGCGCGGCTTCGCTTTTCGCGCGCGCGATACAGAGAAGCGACTGTGTACGTAAAGTCGCTCGAGTCCTCGCACTATTCAATAGGGTGCCTCTCCGGCGATCGAATCATCTCGGATCACGCTACCTCCAAATGTCACGGCTAGCCACTTAGCGTCGTGCTTCTCAGTGTTGTGCTTCGAAATCTATCCGTCACCGAGACCAACCTGTCGAGCCTCGGCCGCGATCAATCTACGCACCCGGATCCTCTCGCGTCGCGCGCCGTCAATTTCCTCGCACGCGTGCACGCGCGCATGCCGACGACGAGGAATCGGAGTTACTCTCGCCGTTGGAGGAGATAATGCTGATGCCGTTTTATCGGCGCCCGCGTATCGAGGACAGAAGCTCGCATCGTCTACCGGACAGCGATTATCAGCCCCGCGATCATCGGCATTGTTGTCGCGGCGCACGACGCCCGTAGCGACGTCGCGACGTCAAGCGAATCGGCCTCGAGACTCGTTTCGATTAGTTCACCGATAGACCCCACGTGGCCCAGGAAGCAGCGCGCGAGGTGATGTTGCTGGAGTCGCGAGGCCTCGCCGGTAGGAAGAGAAACGGACTGACACTGACCTCGTTCGGCGACGGTGGCGGCGGCGGCGGTGGCGGAGGCGGCGGCGGCGGCGGTGGCGGCGGAGGAGCCGGCAGCGAGGAGGACGACGAGGAATCCCGACATCACCTCTATCTGGGCAGGAAGATGCAGGGCGAGGGCACCGCCGCCCCCGCGGTACCCACCGGACTGTCCGGGTGCGCCGGCGACGACGGTGACGAGAGCTCGAGCCCGTCGCCGAACAGCAGCCTCCTGAACAATCTCAACAACAATTGCAACTCGAACCGGCAGTGCGCGACCGACTTTAGCATCGCCGCGATCATGGCGCGAGACTCGCGTCAGCAGCAAATGCAACAGCAGCAGCAGCAACAGCAGCAACAGCAGTCGCATCATCATAGGCATCCGCAGCAGCAGGCCGTCGGCGGCGGCAAACTACATCAACACGGTAAGTCCGTTATCGATAAGAATCTTTAATGAAATTCGAAATGGAGTTTTTGGAAGTGTCATTTGGAGTGTGAGACTTTAAAGTTTGATGGCAAGATATGGAAATGAGCACGCGAATGAATGAGAAGACACGATAATTGATGAAAAATTGGTAAAAGAAAATTACAAGTTTTTGCAATAATTCCACTCAAAACAACAGAATTGTGTTATTTTTTTCAAATCTGAATAACCAGATCTGGCCATGGAATCTTGAATAATTTCCTTAAAAACTTCGTTTTTCGAAAAGATTAATATTGATCTTAATTCTATTATTAAACTCTTCATACAATTAATACTTTAAAAAGTATTAATTCTTTTATTTCTGCATTATTTCTTCAACTAATACTGTCCATTTTCTAGGAGTTTATGTGTTCAATTAATTCTATAAATCTTGAAATTATTGCAAACCATGATGGTTTACAAATATGAATTATTGTTATGCTGTAAGGATTTTGTGAGGACTTTCTGAAAATCCTTCAATTAATTCAACATCAAACGCTTTAATTATGTATATTTTAGGGATAAGAATTAATTGATTCCAAATTTCGATGCAATTCACAGTACAATTGCATTGTTATTGTTGTGTAAACCATTAAATACCTTCTATGTGACAAAGCAATGGATCATATATTGGAGATGTCGCGTATGAATATCAAATTCCTTTATTTCATCTAATTCCTTCATTTTTCGTGTTATCTTAATAATATTTTTTAATTATATAATAAAGAAAACATTAAGATATAAATAGTTTGTGAAAAAGGGAACTTGATACTAAGAAACAATTAAATTTTTGCAATCAAATATCTGTACAACACAACATTATTTTCTCATTCTTATATGATTTTAAATTAATTAATATTTTTATCAATAATTTCCCATTAAAGAATATTATAATAAATTATTTTTTACGTAATGACGGAACAACAAATTGCTCTACTAATATCTAAAGTGTCAAATATGATCATGTGTGCAGATTACATTTCAGCGATATTAATTCTAAACTCGATCGCATTTGTTTCTCTGAAGAGATTTTGCATAAATTCACGTCGCACTCTTGGCTCACGAGAATTATTACATACTCGCTACATAATTGACATTTCACGTCGAATCAACGCGCGATTCTTACTCGCCAATGTTGTTTTGCAAGCATATCGCAACTCGAATTGTATTACCAGAAAATATTTCAAAGAGAAATGCAATCATTAATAACGGGAATTAAATTATCTTGCAAAAGTAAACTTTGTCAAAATCAGTCAAAATCTAAATTTATATATTTTATATATTTGTATGAAGAGTTGTTTCGTAACGTTTTGTATATTTAGTCATTTATTTAGTTCAATAGCATAATTAATCTACACAATATTTTATAATATTTAATTGCGAATTCTTTTTCTCCCTATTCTTTTCTCTTATTCTTTTTTTACAACGTTTCATTTATTTAGCTCAATGCCATATATAATTAATAATCTACAATATTTTATATTTAAAATTGAATTGCAAATTCTTTTTCTCTTTGTCCTTTTATTTCTTACTCTCTTCCTCGGAACATCATTTATTAAAGCGATTATACACTTCGATCGATACACTAATGTCTCGCTCGAGTCCTCGTGAGAAATTTGTCTCGAGCTCGTCGTTCATTAATGGCCAGCGGCTTCATTACGCTGTTATGTTTATTGTTATCGCGCCTCTCGCGAACGCATCGTCGCCGCTTCGGTATGATATTGCGCGACTCATAACTCTTCGCGACTCATAACGCGGTGTATCTCTCTTACCGTGGCGCATTAACTCGAAGAAAAATCGCTCACCCCTTTCGATACGGCCATCCATAACGTTTAATGCGGCCATTCCCAACGAAAATGGAGCGACTAGTATATCGCGCGATTTTTGCGTCGTACCCCCGGTCTACCTGCTCACCACGGTTCATTATTTTCATAGTCCCGTTAAAAACTTGCCAATTAATTTTCGACCATTAACGTTTATCGCGCACACTGTTCGTACTTGGAGCCTTTTGGAACGATTCGATGCTATCACACGTGAATGAATGACGGTGACATCGTTCTATGGAGCAATTGCAAGGTATACGAAATCGAGAAGCGATACCATTTGCCGAATTTGAATACTTTAGCGTGAACTTATCGATAAATTGTGCACAATAATAAAAACTTTCTATTTAATCATGAAATGAGAAGAATTAAAATAAATCTTTTTCTATTATAGTTTTTAAACTCTTCTTTTTTTAATTTGAAGAAAGAAAAAATATAAATTTTGCAATTGCTATATGCAGTACTTTTATATGCATTATCGAGAGATATTTGCACATCAGCGCAAATGAATTTTTTAGAGGTTTATAGCTAGTTCTTAGACTCGCCAGCAAAGATCTCGGAAAACGAACGAGACATATCTCACTCTTTCTCTTTTCTTCGATGCCGAGAAATAAAATACGGTGACAATCTCCTCGACAAAGCATGAATTGCGCGGAAAGTTTCCCGCTTGACGTTTTCTCGCATTTAAATATTAATTCAGGAAGCGCCGGTGACGCACGTCGAAACTTGGACTATAATTATCTTTTAGCCGGCGTTATCTTTTGTCAACGTTAACTATAAAATCCTTTATCCGCTCGATTTTATTGCGAAAATTTTAATACGAATTATATTGTCCCGATAACATTTGTGTGAGTGCTACGCAATAATTATCGATGGTAAAATAATGATATAATTATATGACACAATTATATCATTTCTTTGATACATATATTATTATTAGATTATAGTTTATTTTATTACAATAATATATATATTGGGATGTACAAAATTGTAAGAAAATTATTACACTATATATACTAAATTGTAACATTACATTACTATGCGAAACAAAAAGAAAATTCATAATGGTTTGTGCAATGTTAACAAAAACAAAATGGCAGAAATTATCACTTTCAAAATTGTTTCGTTTTTTCTATCCCTACTCAGGACATTTGCCAATATGTAGATCAGATATTTGCTTATTAAAAAAAGACATTCGCGATTATAAGTAAAGGGTTGAGCACCAAGGTGCGACGAGACACGCTCACCGTCGCGTTTTAATTCGCGCATTTGCGGACGTAAAAATGTCGACGAGGAAAATTACAAGCTGGCGCGGCGCTCTAATGAGGCCCTCTAATATAGAAATTGTTCCGAACTGTCATTATCGAGATAAATGGCCGGCATTGGCTTGGCATTGGGGACGAAAGGGAATCGTTTTTGTGGGGAAACGGGATAATGGTCCGTCAGTTTCGTTTCTTTTAACGACCAAAAAAGGCGTCCGGAGCGGGGATTCGCACAGCAAAGTCACTCCATAATCTGTCGTGTGCAGTTGGATAGCTATATATCTCATAAATGGAAGATAAATCGGCCTAAATGATTACTAAGGACTTATTCGATACGGTATGGAAATTACTGTATATTATTAAGAAAATTATTAACATTAAAAGCAAAAATTTAAAGAATTATTAATATCATATGATATAAGTTCATTAATACTATCAATATTTTATTAATAATTTTGCATTTTATCTGTAAATATTTATTAGAAGCAATTAACAATCTGATTGCACTTTTAAACAAATGTATTGTATTGTTTTGTCTCAACAATAAGTAAAATCATTGAGTTTATGCAATTTTAATAAGAAATTTAAACTTTTTTGATTTATGAAATGTTCTTGACTTAATTAATTATTAATTCAATTCGTGAAAGCAAAATCTAAATAAAAAATAGATAAAATAAAAACCTAGCGCAAGAAACAGAATACGAAAAATAATATTGAATTTGATTGCTTCAAATTTTATCGATAAAAAAAATACAAATGATTATATAAATATCTTAAAATATATATGATTAGAGAAAGAGAGAGAGAGAGAGAGAGAAGGGGTGATAATAAAATAGAGATATTCGGACTTAATGTATAATTTATAAACATCCGGTGTAAAATAAAAAATGTATTTGTAATAAGATATCTTAAATCAATACTTAAAATCTAGCGATTTAATCTTGAAGTAAGCAAAATCATATAGAAGCGATATTTTTAAAACATTTCTTTTGAAAATCGCGCGGAATATTTGATTATGCGATCGATAATCGGGATTGTATTGTAACGAGTTTGGCACCGATGTATTCACAATCCGGATAACGACCGTAAATTATTTCGGCATTATTGAATTATTTAACGCGCAACCGCGTAAATGAAACGGTAAACAAAGCGGCCATCTAAATCGCTGAAATCCGTTCTCGCGAAATAATCAGCCAGGAATATTTTATGCAAAAGAAGAACTGCGTGTTCGCGGCATTTCGTCGCTTTAGAAATTCATTTGCAAAACGTGCATGACAATAGTATCTGGAATGCGATTGTGGTTAATTCCAATGTAAATGAATTACGTTAGTGTACATGAGTAGGAACAAGGACGAATGAATAGATTATTATTACGATTGGACTAATGAATAAAACATAAAAAAATTAGATGAGAGATAACACGTTTAACACATATATTTTTTCTTCATAAAGTGAAAATCATTGTTGTGCGCATTAACATTATTCTTATAAAAAATTTATATTCTTTTCAAATAAACAGGCTTTTCGTGCTCTTTCTGTGAACTTGCTTTTCAGCACGTGTTATCTTGTCGATATAATCGATTCAGATATGTGGGCGAAGTATACATTTCTATCTCGGTAATTTGTATTCGTGCGTGTATGTCAGTTTCATGTTAGCGATAGGTGAAGTAATCTTGCCGTTTCACTATGATTCACTATCGAAATAGACTTCATCGGGTATCGATTAAGAAAACTTAAACGAGATTTATGCTCTCATATGAGATAAGAGATGCTGCATTATTCAAGAACACGTGTCGTGCCTAATTGGAAATGTTACTCACATGTGAAGCGTGAATTTCGTTTAGAATCACAAATTTCGTTTAATCGACCAGCGTCGA